GGCTGCAAAATTTTCAGTCAATTTGGATCATTTTTAAGTCAGTTTGGGCAATTTTTTCTCATTCTGAGCAAATTTTGGATCATTTTCAAGTCAACTTTTGTGTCATTTTAGGTCCTTTTCAGAGTAATTTTGGACAGTTTTCATGTCATTCTGAACAGATTTTCAGTCAGTTTTAATAATTCCACCCAATTAAATGTAATTAATCGCAATAGTTGCTCTTTATTTGGACGAGGCTGTGCCATGTTCTTGATAGTTCATCTGCTTTATCACTGTCACGACTAATTTAAGCACTAATTGAACAAATATTATGACTTATATCCGAATCATAAAAGGTTTATTCAATATAAACTGCACAAACATGGAAGCAGAGCATCAGTTAGTCATTTATCAGTCATTAATAAAGACATTTATGATTAATCAGCAGCTGGTTTCATGTTCAGTTCCTGTAAACTGTCACTAGAGGGAGTCCTGCACCTACAGATATTTATTCTTACTCACCATTCAGATGCTTTAATAGTGTAAAAATAAAGATAAAGTTAAGTGAAAATACTTTGTTATGTGTAAAACAATGTCTAGAATTTTGTAGAATTTTATTTCTCATATTTTATTAAAGCCTTTTTGATATTTGTGGCTTGTTTGTGTGCATATTTTAGAAATATTCTGGGATGTTTGGTGCAGGTTTTTCATTTTATTCACTATTTTTGGGCAACGTTTTAGTCATTTTCTATTAATATTAGTCTTTTCAGCTTTTTTTTTTCTTGCAGCAGACTTCTGTTGAGTGAAATATTACGAAATAAGAGAGAAATCAGAGCGTGTTTTGGGGGAAACACATGAGCTGTGTGATCACAACACTGTTGTGTTGCTGCATCATGTGACACTCAGACACACAGGGAGCGATGTGTTCACTGACTCTCTGACCGGCTGGGAAATGACAGACTTCTTTAGCCTGGGGGCTCTGTTTTATTAATACAGTATGTTTCTGTTTTGTTCAATAACAGATGATAGATTTTAAAACCACATAAATAAATGTATTATTTACACGTTAACAGTTTTAAAAAAAAAAAGGCCCAAACTGTAAATAATGTCACATCAGGTCTTTTAGAACATTTATTGTGTGTAAATTAACAAACATTATCATATTTTCACAGATAACTGCCGCTATTTGAATGAATAAAGCGTGTTCAGGTGTATGGCCTTCCTGATCCCACCTGTCTCCTCCTGGGTCACACCTGAGTGGGCGGAGCTTCTGGAAGACGAGGAGGGAACGAAGCACCGCAGAGCAGCGTCACGTCTCAGAGGAACCTGGCACGGTGAGGACGAAGAACTCTGGAGACGAACGGAGAACGTCGAGGTTCACGGCAGCAGAGAGTCGAGGGACCGACGGAGGAGCAAAACAGGAAAGACTGAAAACACGACGGCAGAAGAATTAGTTCTTTAGTTTGGATTCACAAGGAATTATAATTCATGTCACTGTCATCATGTGGAGTAAAAAGATATAAAGATTAATAATAAATTATTGTATGTTAGAAAAAATAAAGGTCAAGTGGTGCCAAAAAGAAGAAAAATAATAAACAAATAGACAAAAAAAAAGGATAATAAAAAATAATAAAATAAAACAAAATAAAATAAATGTAAATATCAAGAAACAAATGTGCCAGAAAAAAAAGGAAAACATGTCAAATATATGTATATATATATATCATTTAGTTATTTTTATGATCACAGATTGTAAAAAAAATTAAATTAAATTAAAAAGAAGAGAAAAAAGTGAAAATTTTATTTTATTTCGTTATTTTTTTTGGTCACAGATGGTAAAAAAAAAAAGAAGAAGAAAGAAATTACATTACGTAAACTTATTAAAAAACTATTTTAGAGTCAACATGTGAGTTAATGAGGAAAATGGGAAAATTGTTCACCACTGTTAAAATTCCTGATATACATGATTTTCTTTCAAATATCTGTAAAATAATTATGCGTTGTTTGCTGATTTAAATACAGTAAAAAAAATATATTATAATTTTATTATCACATATTGTTAAAGAAAAAAATACAATTTGTAAAATTACTGATTTTTGATATAATTATTTTTTGGGCCTAATTCATGTAAATAATTTTTTTTTTCCTGTGATTTTCCTGCTTGTCAGCTGCAATTTAACAAAACAGAGAAAGTCTGTAAAACAGTTTTAAACATATTTATGATTTTTATATTTATACATTTTTTCTTTCAAATAATGAAAAACTTATTATTATTATTATTATTATTTCTTATTTTTAGCATTATTTTTTATTTTTTTATTATTATTATTATTTGCTAAAATAGAAATAAATAGAAGTAAAATGATGTGAATTTATGTTAAAACACTGTAAAAGCTTTTTTTTCCTCATTTACAGTTTTGACCCGTTTTCTTGCACTTAACTTTTTTTGTTTACTAGCTACTACTAGTTACAGCTTAACTAGTCACGAGCTGCCATTTAACCAAACAGGGACGATCTGTAAAGTAACAGTAAAACACTAAGAAGGATTTTAGTTAAACCCTGTTAATAAAAGTCTTTTTATTAAACGGCGTACCTGTTTGTCCGGTTCTGTTCTTGTCAGTTGGAGCCTGTTGAAGCCTGTCGCTGGATTTCGTCGCTCTGACGGGATGAAGACGAGCAGAAACACCCTGAGCTCACGGTTTAGCTGCTCAGCGGCCGAACCTCTGCTCTGATTGGCTGGATGGTACCGTGTTCAGTGTTTCTGTGACCTCGCATCGGGCCGAGGCAGAGCCGAAGATCCAGAAGACGTAGATGGGAAAGTTTCGACGACGAAAACTCATATTTTGAGTCTTAAAATGTGGCGGTTCTATGTAATATTCACTCATATGATACTCAGTGATGCCTGGCCTGGTATTTTTTTTGTATTTTCACCCTTAAAACAACCTGTGAAGCCACTTTAAAGGTTCAATATCTCCAGAAATAAAACTCCTACAGCCATGAGATGTGGTGAGGACTCAGACAGAAGAGTTTATATCAGATCAGGATGATTGAACGGATCCAGCAGAGGACACAGTTTGAATTATTGGTTCTTGAAAATGTAAAAAAGAGTTAATTTTCTAAAGCTAAAGTGATGCTGTGGCGCCAGAAAGTTCCTCTAAGTGTTTTTATATGGATGTGATCAGCCTCATGTGTTGTTAAACTACAACATGAATCAACATGAAGCAGCTTCTAACATCTAGAACCTGAGACCTCCAGGTTCTGGTTCCTACCAATGATCAACATTTAGTCTGAACATCTAAAACCTGGAACCTGGTCTGGTCCAACTTCACCTCATCAGGTTCTTCTGACACTGACAGGAACTTTCTGGGATCAACACCAGCCTGGGTTGGAGATGTTTACGCTTTTGTCCATTTTTAAGAGCCAATGATCAAGTATTATTGTTAATTTGGACAAATTTGGACCCTCTTTGTCTTATTTTGGATTTATTTTGAGTCATTTTGGACGAGTTTCAGGTAATTCTGGACAAAACTCAAGTCATCGTTGGAGAAATGTGACCAGAGACTGGATTCTAGTAGAACCATGGATCCATCCATAGACAGACACTGACAGGAACTTTATTGAGTTGAACATTTTGCACCTTTTTTCCATTTTCAAGCACCAATAATTCAAACTGTGTCCTCTGCTGGATCCATTCAATCATCCTGGTCTGATATAAACCATCCTGTCCTGGGTCGTCACCACATCTCATGGCTGCTGGAGTTTTATTTCTGGAGCTACTGAACCTTTAAAATGAACACGTGTGTCTTCCTGCTTTCTCTCTGCTGTATGTAGTTGAATCCTGTCTCAGCTGTAGCTGCAGTGTTAAATGTCCCACTGACTTTCTAAATGCCGCCGCTGAGCTTCACCAGACCCACAGCTCCACCAGGAGCCGTCAAATACCATCGCTGTCTCCACGTCCACCACCGAGCAGCTCCACTGCAGCAGCTCAAGGACTCCTCACTGTCGGTTCTGGTGAAACAAAACGTTGACGAGCAAAGACGAAACCAAACCACCAACCGTGAGGCGCTGTGTGTCGCCGGTTAGCGGTGAAAACATCTGGATGCTGCTCCACATCTGGTCCGTCCCGATCGTGCAGATCTGCAGAAAAACAGAAAAGAGGCAGTTTGTTGATTATTTATTACTTTAAATAATCAACCAGACACTTTGGGTTGTTGCTCTCAGAGGAAAACACTCCTGAACTTTCAGATACAACATGACGGTGAACACAAAGCTCCTTCCCACTGGCTCGCTGCACATCGTTTTATGGTTTCTGTACCACGTAGGAAGCTCTAAGTTCCTACATTCCTTGAACAAACAGCTTCCTAGAAATGAGAAGGCATCTCCTTAGAAGGACCCGGAGCTTCGTCTGCATTCCACAAAGGGACCGAGGAGCCTCCTCAGGCCGAAGCTCCAAACCAGACCAGGCCTCAGACCCTATTTCTGATCCTGCTACTGTTACAGAAACATCTCACGTTACAAGAAGCAGCAGTCGGACGGTAACTTTGGACCCGAAAAAAACATGGAAGCAACTGATTGTAGAAGATTTATTTCAGCCCTGAAAGTCTCATGTGTCTATCTGCTGAACTGATGAAGCTCTGAGGCTCAGAAATGATGGAAAAAGTCCATTAAAGTGATAAATCTGGACTTAAAGGTTCTGGACCTCTGTAACATTCACAGTCTGAAGACAGAACTTTGCGTGGCTTCATTAAATATACTAATGTTGTTAAAGTACAAAATTATTCTATTTATTCAGAATATATTTATACAAATTAAAACTTTATTTGTGGCTTCTCCACCAAAAAATTAAACTACCTTAAGTTCTGTCACGCTAACCTGTAAGCTAAGCTCTGTAAGCTCAGAGCAGCTAGCAGTTAGCTAATATTCCTGTAGGATTTCATATTTTTTACATCTTGTATTAAAAATCTATGTGATATATTTATGGCAGCTGTTGGGTTTTGTTAAAAACACAAATATTAATTATGAGGCACAATCATCAGCATAAACTCATGTTGCTGGAACTAGCACGCAAACTAGCTTGTTAGCAACCAGGCTAGCAAAAATTTGCCAGCTATGAGGTTAACACAGAGGTTCTGCTAATTTTTAAAGTACAAAATACTAAATCAAATGATCCTTTTTTTGTGGCTATACACCAAATAAAATAAGTTGCGTAACACTAACCTGTAAGCTAAAGAAGTACAAACAAGCTCATTTCAAACACCATCAGAGCGGCAAGAAGTTAACTAAAACTCATATATTTTTATATGAGATGCTAAAAAAAATACAGCCTTTGACATCAGCTATCACTTTTTCTTAAAAACACAAATCTTAATTATTAGGCAAAATAATCACAACACAATGAAATTTCTAAGAGCTCAAAAACAAGCTAACAGGACCTAGCAAACTAGCTTGTTAGCAACCAGGCTAACACAGAATTGTCAGCGATGAGGTTCACACCAGTTTTCTTTTTCACAAAAATCTCATGATCAACTTTTTGTGGCTTCAACACCAAAAAGATCTGAAATGCTAATCTGTGAGCTACAGAAGCACAAACAAGCTAATCTCAAACACTCTCAAGGCAAAATTCCTATAAGATTTATTTATTTATTTATTTATTTTTAATGTATGATGTCTATGTCTAATATATTTCTGTCAGCTATCAGTTTTTGTTAGAAATAGAAATTTAGTTTAAAGCGCTGAAGTTTCTGGAAGTTGTCAAACTAGCTAGCAGGAGCTAACAAGCTAGCTTAAGTTGTGTAACACCTATCTGGGAACTAAAGCTCATTTCGGCCTAAAATTCACAATATTAGGATTTAATGTTGTTGCTGTTGGTGTTTGAACCTTATAGTTCACGAGTTTTCTTGCCATTTTCTTTTGTTTTTTAGGTCTTTAATGTTATTTAGCATAAATACAGGATTGTGTTTTATGGTGTCCAGGCTGCAGCAGCATGTATGTGGGTCACTGTGGAACAACACTCACTAAAGCTAAACCGACCGTGTAGGTTAACGGTCACTTATTAGCAGGCGGCAAACACACCTGCACATACCTGCATCACTGATGAACGTTAGCGAGGCGCTGAAGCCGCCATGAGCGACGCTGCTGTCGGAGGTGAACTGCAGAACCATGACGCTGTGGTAGGACAGGACGGGAGGAGGCGGGCCGCGGCCGCACAGAACCGCTGGACCGGACGGGACAGACATGTTTTAAAGCCCTAAATGAATGCTACAGGTGCAGATGTCCAGACGTCCAGGTGAGCCGACCCACCTATCTCCTCTGTTCCTGCAACGTCTCCAAACACAGTCAGGGAGTCGTACAAACATCTGTCGGACTCCTCCAGGTCAAAGTCAGCAAAGTCCAGCTGGAAGAAGACACAAGCCTCTGATGTCATGAAGGTGGATGATAAAGACGAGTTTACTGTTCAGATGAGTCAATTATCTACCACCATTTCCTTATTAAATGCACCAAATCTGAGAAATCCTCCACCAGAACCTCCTCAGAACATCTGGTTCTGTATCTGCAGAACCTTCATCTACTGACCAGAGTTCTACCTTCATGCTGTGAATGTTCCAGAGCTCCAGAACCTTGAAGTCCACAGAGGAGGGTCCAGATTTATCACTTCAATGGACTTTTTCCATCATTTCTGAGCCTCATAACACATCTGAGCTTTGTCAGTAAGTAGGCGACGGTTTCTGAGTGATTTCCGACAGGTTCATTTTGAACAAATTCTCAGTCATTTGGGACAAAACTGAGTGATTCTTGATAGATGTTTGTGTAATTTTGGACAATTTCCGACTCATTTATAGCGATTCACGAGCAATTTTGAAAACCATCAACCATCAACGTAGAACTTTGGAGTACTTTAGTGTGATTTTTGAACAACTTTTGAGTCGTTTAAACCGTTTTTCAGCGATTTTGGGGTCTTTTAAAACAAGTTTTAAGTCATTTGGAGCGATTTTCATGCTATTTTCAACAATATTGTCTTTTTTTTAAAATGTCATTTTGAACAGAAACATCCACAGCATGAAGGTAGAACTCTGCTGCATTAAATGAAGCTACTGTAGATACAGAACCAGCTGATGTTGAGAGAACTTCCATCAGATTTCACAGCTTTTATATTAAATGTTTGTGAGCACAGAGAGCAGGAGAGAAGTTATAAACTCAGCACAAATCACATTTTTGTTCTGTGATCATTTAAAGTTCTTCCCGATTTCCGTGGACTTCGAAAACTTTTACATTTAACCAGATAAAATATTAAATGAAGTGTTGTGTAAATATATGCATCGTCAGCGTGGTGCGTAAGTCGCGGCGTCACCTTGACGACGTGGCCGTGCGGCGCGTACACCACCCAGCGGAGGACGCAGTCGTCGCCGTAGGATTGTGGGTAATTTGGGCTGTGAACAGCAGCCGGATCCTCCACCAGAACCACTGTACCGCATCCTGATTGAACACAAACACACACTGAAGTGACTCATCCGCACAAACACAACACACACCGTCAGCAGTGTGTCTTGTGCAGCTCGTTACTGAGTCACGAGGCTCGTCAGCAGAGAGGAAAACTGTACATAAAGAGCGTCTACAGGCTGAGAACAGAGCAGAACCACTGAACACAAGCATCCTGGCAGCAGAAACCCAGATGTTGGTGTGTGTGTGTGTGTGTGTGTGTGTGTGTGTGTGTGTGTGTGTGAGTGTGTCTGTGTTGTTGTTGTGGTGGTGTGTTGTGTTTCCCACCAGGATCAGAGTGTCCCCTGACAGCACGGTGCCTCATTACAAAACCACTTCCTGATCCGCTAATGTCAGAGGAGAAGAGCAGCGTTGCATTCTGGGAGTTGTTGAGCAGCACCGGACCGGGCGCCACGCCGCCACAGAAAATCCCTGAAAAGCAAAGACAGAGGTGATAAAACCCGCGATGTCTGGTGAGTGTGGTGCTGTGTGGACACATCTGGACTGTGTGGACACAT